TTCTTCGAAGTTTTTGTATATTCCAGATATCAATCCCCTGTTTGGGGAGTAACTGGCAAAAAGTTTTCTCATTTTATGAATTTTCTCTTCAATCTACTGGTTGACTCTTTTGATGTACAGAAGATTTTTGGTCTGATATAATCCCACTTTTTGATTTTTCCTGTTTTTTTCTTGTCCAATTGAGGTTCTGTTTAGAAAATCCTTTTCTACACCTATTTCTTCAAGTATTTTACATATTTTATCTTCCAAGAAGTTTAATGTTGCCGTTTAAGGTTTATATATTTGATCTACCTTTCTTTTCGCTTAGTATATGGTGAAACCCAAAAACTACAGTTTCACTTTTCTGCACATGGATAACCGATATGCCCAGCACCACTTACTGAAGGGGCTGTCTTTCCTCTTATAATGTGCTTTGGTCTGTTTGTCAAAGATTGAAGAGCTGAATGTACCTGGGGAAGTTTCTGTATCCTCAGTTCTATTCCACTGATGCAATTACCTATCTTTTTTCCCCAGCATCACAGCATTTTTATCACTGTTGCTTTGTAGTATAGCTTGAAGTTAAATATTGTTATGCCTCTTCATTCACTTTTTTTGCTCAAAATTGTTTTTGCTATTCAGGTTCTCTACTGCCCTCATACAATTTTATGACTGTTTTTCTAGTTCTCTAAAGTAAGTTGGTAGTTTGATTGTGAGTGCAATGGATGTGTAGAGCAGTTTTGGAATTGCGACCACACTGGCAATATTGATTTTGCCTACCCAGGAGTAGGGGACATTCTTTCACTTTCTGATGTCCTCTTCAATCTCCTTTTTCAGAGTAATGTTTTGAGAGCGCTTTCTTTTCTTTTTTTTTTTTTCTCCAGTACCGGGAACCGAACTCATGAGCTTGCGCTTGCCAGGCAGGCGCTTTTGCCGCTGAGCTAAATCCCCAGCCCCTCGCTTTCTTTTCTTTAGGTGAATTTCTCAGTATTACATTTTTCTAGAAGCTCCACTGAGTGCTTTCATTTCCATATTCTTGTATTCTGCTCCTCTACTGAAGTTAGGTATTGATTTAAGAGGTTTTTGGTGGAGTCACCTGAGTCTTCTATGTCATGTATCATGTCATCTGCAAATAATGATAATTTGAGTTCTTCTTTATCTATTTGTATTTCTTTTACTTTTTCTCTTGAATAATTTCTGGCTAATGTTTCAAGTACTATGTTGAATAGAAGAGGTGATATGGACATCCTCCTCTTGTTTCTGATTTTAGGGCAAATGCTTTTAGAGTTTCTCCATTTTGTTTGATACTAGCTCTTTGTTTGCCACAAATGGCTCTGTCATATTCAGGTATTGTTTTTGTGTATCTGTTTTCTTCAGAGTTTTTTTTACCACAAATGGTGTTGGATTTCAACAAAAACCCTTTCTGCATCTATTGATCTGATCATGTGGTTTTTGACCTTGCCTCAGCTTATGTGATGCATTACATTTATTGACTTATGTATGTGGAAACCATCCTTGCTTCCCTGAGATGAAATGTACCTGGGATGAAACATACCTGATGTGTGCTCTTTCTGCCAATGTGCTGCACTGCATTTGTTAATACCTTGTTAATGATTTTTGCATCTATGTTCACTGAAGAAATAGGTGTATGATTCTCTCATTTAGTTGGGCCTCAATCCAGTTTGGGTATCAGTGTTGTACTGGTTTCCATAAATGGAATTAGCACATCATCCTTTGCAATTTCTTTGAAAAGCTTAAGAAGTATGAGTGATATTGTATTCTTAAAGATTTTGTAGATTTAAGCAGTGAATCCATCAGGTCCTGGGCTCTTTACAAGGGCAGTTCATTATTACTATGTCAATTACATTTCTCATTATTGGGTTGTTAAGCATATTTGTTTTTTCTTGGGTTAGTTTTACTTTGAAGTTTATCATATTGGATATTAGAATTGCTAGCTCTACTTGTTTTTGGAGTCTGGATTCATGAAATGTTTTTTTAACCTTTGATTTTTAGTCCTATCTGTTCTGATCAGATGAATTTCTTGAACACAGTAGATCATTAGATTCTGTTTTTTGATCCAGTGTGCCAGTCTGTGCCTTTCAACTGGGGAGTTGATTGACACCATTAATATTGAGAGATATGACTGAGATGCACTTTGTGTTTACTATTGTTGCCTTTTTTGTCATTTGGTGTATCCTTTTGTTTCCTAATGTTTTTTGTTGCTGTTTGTTCACTGACCTCACTACTTTCCTCTGTGTTTTTAGTGGTGTCCAATTCACCGTTTCTGTAGAGAATTTTCTTTTTTTCCGGTACCAGGAATTGAACTCACTACCTACATTTGATGCATATATATATATATATATATATGATAGTTATCTCTTCCTCTTGCAGTTTGAGGAGGAAGGGGACAGTGCCTTTCTTCTGGTCAAGAAAGAATGACCTGTATGGACACCTCATGCAGAGATGGGGCAGCAAGGAGAAGCTGCACAGGAATCCAGGTTAGAAAGTGTCCCTTTACCCTTCAGGTGACTTGCAAAGGAAAAGACAGACACAGCAATGGAGCTAAGGCATCTTCTCATTAGCCTATTGTAGCGGCTAAGGAGGCCCAGGGGAATGTAGAACAAAAGTAACTACTCGAGAAGATGACATACATGTGAAGCCCAGCACATGGTCTCCATGTGAAAATCACCCACTGTCCCATTCTTGTGGGTATGGCTGAGGACTTGGTGTTCTTTCAGCCAGACAACATGCTTAGTGTTGCCTACCTTTGAGAAATGTTCAGGATGAGGTAGGCCCTGTCACCATCAGTCTTGGACAAGTGTATTGGCAGAGAAAAGGCAAGCTGTGTAATGACACCCTACTAGTAGGCTTACTTATGCATTGCACCTATAAGTGTGATTCTGGCCAGGGTTCCACCTGAGAAGCAGACCTATGTGCCAGTGGACAGTGTTACAGTTCCTGGGATGCTTGTACCTGTACTGACCAACATTCTGAATGGCTATAGCAGTGTCCTGTTCTTCTATTGGGTGTCCAGGAGGATAATCCATGCTCAGCATGGGGGCCAGGCATGGTATATGTCCCAGATTGTGGCGGGAAGTGGGAATGAGGTAGGTCATGTGGGGATGAGATAGATCATGAAGCCTCGATAGGGGCCACCAGCATCTTGCACTTGCAATAGCCCTGCCTTCATTTCCAGGACTCAGGTGGAAAGCAGTGGGGACCACTCAGCTTGTGCCCGTGGATTTCAGACAATGGTGTTCCAACTGACTGACATTTCCTCAAAGTGTGAACCTCAGTGCCACAGTTTTGGATGCTGCCCTGCATCTTTGAAGGTCAAAGAATGGCTAATAAGCCAAGAAAGAAAAGGCAGGAAGACTCAGAACCTTGGAAAGGCAGGGAGTTGGATTTTTGCCTAATCACTGCCAGAGAGCACTTACTTGCACACTGTGATCTCAGCTCAGTGAAACATTCAAACTCTCAGCTCCAGAACGTGAAGGGAAGACATGTCTGCTGTTTAAAACTGCTAGTTTTGACAAACTGTCACAGTGGCAATGGGACTGTCATATCCCCAGCCACCCAGGTAGGAAACACACAGACCAGTTTGATCCCAGAGAGTTTGATTCTCCAAGGCCCAGCAGGAGCCAGCGTTAATGGGAAATTTCTTTTTTTCTCTTTCTTTCCTTCTCTTCTTTTTTTCCTCAATATTTAAAAAATGTTATTTTAAAGAGACGAAACTTTAAAAGGAAAGAGGAACTGGGATGAAGGAAAGGAAAAAAGAAGGAAGGGAAAAGGAAAAATTATTTCTGGCTAGGGTCAGAAACAAATTTGGCTGCCCATAGTGGATCCAAAGGGCCAGGGAGGCAGGGTGATGACTGTCTCCACAGCCGGGTAGCGGGGCTCTGACACAGACCCCACATGGCCCTGTCTGCCTGGAATCCCTCTGCCTCAGACACAGCTCTCAGCCCACGTTAGAAGTGCAAGAGATACCAAACTGGCCTGAGCTCAAGTCTGGCCAGAATTGTGACACCTGCTGGTGGGCTCGGGTCTCTGTTGTGTTCAGTGGGAGGCCGGGTGAATGCAGTCATTGCTTGAAAGTCAGAGTGGACACGACAGTTTGTGTGTCTGTGTGGTGGGAAGCCGGGGTCTTTCAGAGTCACCCCACTCAGATCATTACACATGTATGGATGAGGTTAAGGATAGGAGAATCCCTGTGTGCTGAATGCATTGGGAGCGGGGAGCCAGTGTTGTCAGTGTGGGCACTGGGGCCATTCAGATCAGACACAGACCCAGGCATGCTTGTCTTCTCCCGGGAGGCTGGGTTCCAGGGGTCATATTGTCCTACCACTCCTGGCCCTGTCTTGGCTTCAGAATGCACTCCCAGGTGATCTGGATATTAACCTGGTAGGGGGCACAATGACTAAGTTAGCATGGACATGGTCCCTGACTGGTAAGGTCAAATGGTGAGGACCTGGTCACAGCTCGTGGGTGTTGGGATGAGCCCACACCTACTCACCCTCTGCTGACAATAGCCCACATTCTCTGCCACACTCACCACTCACCCTCCTGTCTTAGTCACCATGAAACAGCATCCACAGGAGTTGAACAGCTGTGCCTCGCTGTGCCTTGCACCCCCTCCAGGACACTTCCACTACTCAGCCCTGACAGGGTTTCTCCCACAGAACCTGTTTTAGGTGACCAAGTGTTGGCCTGAGGTAAGCCCTCAAAAGTCTGTTTCTTGGATGTATAACTGCTCTTAGGCTGCTGTGGAGGCAAGCTGAGAATTGGTACTAGGTGCGCCCTCGTTAAGCAGAGAGCGAGTACAGCATAGGTCTGTCCAGGACATCTTCATGGCAGTCAGAGGCAATGATGGTGGCTGAGAGTCTGGAACTCTTTGCTTTGCTCCCTCCCTGAGCACCCTAACGGCAGGCTGGGCTCTGGGGAGAGCAGCTCCTGAGAGTGAAGCTGACTGGAGCCCATCTGTGTTCTTCCTTGACCTCACGGACTAATATGCAAAGTGCACACTCTTCGCGTCTCAGTGCCAAGCGTTTATTTAGAAGAAAAGTTCAGCTTCACTGGCAGGGTGGCATTTGGGGAGATGGATGGGCAGTAAAAAGTGTCTTCCAGCTCTCTCACTGACATTGTGGACAGTGATTCAACCGGATGGCACCCAGGGCTGAGTTGACAGGAGAAGCACAGTAAGTAGAGACAGTAGGCACCTAAGGAGGGACAGCAGAGTGAAAGGGCTGGGGTTTGGAGTTTGGGTATGGGAAAAACGAAGGTGGTCCCAAGACCCCCAGCCCACCCAGGCATCCCATCAGCCCCACTCCTGTATTTACTGTGTGTTCTGTCAGTGTAGTCAATGGCATCCAGCTGTGGGAGAGAAAGAAAATTAGTGCAGGTATAAGTGGGTTTTAGTGTTTGTGTATGCGTATTTCTCTGTGTGTGTGTATGTATGTGTGTGTGTGTGTGTGTGTGTGAGAGAGAGAGAGAGAGAGAGAGAGAGAGAGAGAGAGAGAGAGAGAGAGAGAGAGAGAGAGAGAGAGAGAGAGAGAGAGAGAGAATGAACATATGAGGGGATTTCAGTGCCAAGACCCTTGCACTTCTCTTGGCTGCCACAGGCATAGCCATGACAAGCTGAAGGGGATCTGAGGATTTCCTGAATTCATGGATTTGGGCTGGGAAATGTGAAAGGCCTAGCCTTACACTACCCTTGCCATAATAAAATGCTCTGCTGTGCTTAGATGTTGGCTATGAGAGGCCCACTGCCAGCCACCCTGTGTCCCTGGGTAAAGCCCCTGTCCAAGCCATGTTATCTGAAAGAAGGGACACCCCCACTGTTAGGAATGTGCAAGTCCCAGGGCGAGGAGTAGATGATGCAGCGCAGCCACACCCAAGATATGAAGAGGAGGTGGCCTAAGGAATTGAGACAGGGGAAATGTGGATCTGTATTTAAAATTGTCATCTGGATGGTCTCTGAAAAACTGTCAGTTAAAAGACGTGGCATTGGTTTCCCTGGGGGCTGATAGGCACCATTACTCCCCAGACTGGACCAGGAGACACCGTCTCTTCCCCTTTTACTTGGTAGGGCAGCACCAGACCTGGAAAAATCCAGCATCCCCTTCCCCTCACCCCAGCTGGTCTTACTTTTTTGCACGGTGTAGTGGATTTCCTGATGAGGGAATTCCATTTTCAGGGTCACATAAAGAAAGTACACCAGCAGATGATAAAGGTCCATCTCCATGAACCTCGCTGTGGCCAGGATAGTGGGAAGTGGGCAACAAAGAGAACTCTGTAATTTATTTCCATATTTTGGAGATGGTGTCTTCATATGTAGTTCAGGCTGGCTTGAAATTTTCAATCCTTTTTCCTTACCCTACCCAGAACTATAAGAACATGTATGGCTCACAACCTCAGCCTAATTCCATACATAATGTTGAATGAGTGAACAAGGTCACAATTCCTTGTCTCATGGAGGATCTGAGGAAAGACCTCCATCCTGAGGAGGGAGTTTGAATTTGAGAGACTTTCCTTGCAGGTTGGGGGCACTATCCTACAGGTGTGACTAAGAACCATGTCCCTGTGGGGATGGCGTGATGACCTACCATAGAGGACACACTCCATATACTCTTGATTGTTCACAATTGCCTTGTAGAATACCACAGCATACTCATTGTAGTTGGTGTCTATGACTTTCATGGTGAGGTTCTGTAATCCCTGGTAACCTGGAGTGTGGAATCCAAGGAGTCATCCTTCCCTGACCACAAGGAAGGGACAGACCCCTTCCTCTTCATACAGTCAGGCAGGGTTCCCTTTCAATCCTATGTGTGTGGAGTAACAGCGAGGCCTGTGACCATTCCAAAGGAATCCAGTCCCTGACCTTCAACCCCAGACCTTTCTCATCCAGGACTCACGTTGAGCGTCTTTCAAGATATACTGGTTGGGCAAGCCACTTGGAACGAAAGTGTCAGTCCGAGGAGTACAGCCATGGTCACTGTGAGAATAAGATGGTGATGTGAATGAAGAGAAGACAGAAGCTTGGTTTCCCTGAACTGCATGAAGATGGTCACCTGCTGCAACAGGGTTCTGTGGCTCTTGTTAACCCAGGCCATCTCTCTTCCTTGGCCCATAGCCATGACCCTGAATTTTCCCCTCTGAGTCTTGCCTGGTATGCTAACATTCCCTCCAGGATTCACTGTGTCCTCTCCTGCCTCCCTCTGTCTGCCTGTCCCACACTCAGACCCAAGGAAGTGATCTCTGCTTTTATCTTGTTGCTCCTCTTTCCCACTTTCCTGGGAATTTCCAGTGGACTTCCAGTCTGCTCTGTGCCAAGTACTGCCCTAGCTCTTAACCTAAGCTTTACCTCTCTCCTTAGTCTACTCCATTCCTGCAGCCAGTATGCCTCAGCCACTTTACCACCTATCATTTGCCTCTCAAAATCGAATACTCCAATTAATTCAACCAATGGCCAGAGTCAGAATTTGCCACAGTTCCATGAGCCAGCACTCCCACTTCTGTCTCCTCAAAATGTCCCATCTTTGTCATTCCCCATTTGTGAGGGCCCACTCTTACCTTGGGAATTTTCCACTATTCTCTGCAACATCTGTGTTCAGATTATGTCCCTTTAGGAGCCACATGCCAGGCCCTGGCTTTGAGGGAGACAACCACAAGCCTGGCCTGAGAGTGCTGCCCTCCGTGCTGCTCATCAGATGCTGCTCTGGGTCCACACTGATGGCTGACTTACCTCTTAAATTGAGGCTCAGAGCCAGCAGCCCTAGTGATGTTCCATGCATCTTCATTTTTCATAGTGCTGATGTGATGGAGACCACCTCAAAGCAGCCCTGAGCAGGACTTAAATTAACCTAATGTGGTTTTCATGTTTACAGTTGAATCTGTCCAGAGCCTAGGTAACGTCTGGAAATTAGTGGCAGATGCATAGTAAGTGATCCTCTGTGAATCACTAATCCCTACAGAGGCCTGTATTGGCAGCTGCAGCTGGAAAGCCTCAAAGGATAAGACAAGATCACAGCCATGGAGCCCTGGATCCAACCTCAACTAGCTAAAGACTGTAGCCTCAGGCATCTCACTCCTTGGTGGAGTAAGTTAACACTTTACTTGGGGAAATCTTTGCATAGGTCCACCCTCCCTGAGTATTCCCCTCTCTTCTGATAACTAAATAAATGTGGGCCTCCCAGGGAAGGTCTTGGTGTTAACGCTGAGAGAATTTTGAATTTTTTGAGGGGGCTTTTATCCTTCTGGAACCCTGAAATCATTCCATTTGCCACTTTTCATTTAGCCTTTGTCGTACACTGGTTTGGAAGATTTTGCACCTGATCAGTCTGCAATAACTAAGGGATATTGTTAACCTGACACTGATGGCACAGGTGAGGGTGCTACTCTGGATCGAACACAGGGCCATGACACTGAGATACATCCCAGAGTTCTGTTTTCGCATTTAATTTTGAGATGTGGTCTCTGAGTGTTGCCAAAGGTCAATTCAAATTTTTGATTCTTCCACCTCAGCCTCTGAAGCTGAGCCTGCTGATTACAGACAGCGTGGCTCCTAGAAGGTCGGTTCCTAAAAGCCCTACAGGAGAGACTGTGGGGTTTTTATGAGTTCTACTGCCCTCACTCTGCTAGTCTCTCCTTCTGTTCTGTAGACTGTGCTGCAGCAACACATGAATACTGATGGAAAGGAGAGAAGAAAAATGGGGGCATGAGAAGGGGAAGAAATAGGAAAAGAGGAAGGGAAGGAAGGAAGGAGGGAGGAGGGGAAAAAGTCTGACTCAGGGCAGAGCAGTGAGGTGAAGGACAGTTTCCCTCATTTCCTTCACTTCTTGGCAATTACACTGTTCAGCACTCTGACCCGAGGCCCTGGCATGTTTACCTGTGCCCGATGGAGGTGACATTGTAGCTGTGGTCCTCCTTCAGCTTAAAAATCATGCTCAACATGAATGTGTCGCTTATGCTTGCATTCATAAATCTGTTCTGTACCCATCCTATGGCTTTCCACTCTCCCTGGAACTGCAAGGAGATGGTGATAAGCAGAGCCCAGGGATGGCTGAGAGCCACACCTCCAAAGCTGTCACTCTTTGTATCCCGGGGCAGTCCTCTGGGTAGCACAGCCTTGAAACGGGCTGTCCTGTGAAAGGAGCAGGAAGTAGAGTCCTTCACAACCAGGAGAGATCCAGGGCAGGGAGCTAACCCCGAGCTGTCAGGGCTGGAATGGCCCTACCCATATGGCTGGTGAGCCTTTCAGAACCTCAATTTCCTTGTCTGAACAGAGGGACTGCATATCTTTCCGCCTCACATGCCAAGGACCTGGACACTCTGAGTGCTCCTACATTGAATACATTTGCCCAACACCCCCAATACTCTACAATTACTGTCCCTGATCCCTAACCCCTCCTTACATTTACATTTCTAGAACCATACCTTATTAGCCTCAAAGTTTAGCTTCTTGATGAATTTGTCTGATGATGGTCTCAAGACCCCTGGAGTGGTGGAATTCTGAGCTTGGGTCTTCAGAGCCCATAGCAGCATGAGGCACAGCTGCAGGAGGCCCAGGGCCATGGCTGCAGAGCAGTTGCTGGGCTGGCAGGTGCTGCAGAAAGAAGAGGATGGCTGGGGAGCCCAGGCAGGGGGACCTATTTATGTCCAGCAGTCCACCCCCTGCTGAGAGTGGGCTGATCTGCCCTTTGCAAAATCCAAGAATGGGGGCTGGGGATTTAGCTCAGCGGCAAAGCACCTGCCTGGCAAGTGCAAGGTCATGAGTTCGGTTCCCGGTACCGGAGAAAAACCAAAAAAAA